AGACCCATAGCGCTCTCTGCTGGAGACAGGTGGCAGATCTCCAGATCCCAACAGTACCCCATAGCCCAACAGAAAAAAAAACATAAAAACAGGAAGGGATCGTCGGCGCCCTCTGGAGGGCAAGCCTCTGGATCCCAACAACCTGAAGATTAATCAAGAATTCTTCTGGACTGACTCACGAGTTGTACTCCATCAATAATGATGCTGGCAACTTCCACATATTTGTTGCCAAAAGTGTTCAACTGATAATGCCACTGATTAGGATCAGTGGCATTATCAGCAACACTGTAAAGTTTTTTTAGGTGTTAAGCCCAGATGCAGAACACACACTGAGGAAGCAGGAGAATGGTTTCGATGTTTATTTAGGGGCAGTTCTGAGAGGAGCGCTCCCAGAGCGTGAAGCTGGAGGTGCTGGAAAGGTGGAGAGCCGGGGGGCACACCCTATCTGGGAATAGAGCAGGTAGTTAGACAGTGCCAGACATACCAGGAGGTCAGACAGTGACTGATCTTACTGTGTGAGTGTGGAGGACGCGACCCAGGGTGGAGGTGAGGAAGAGGGGACTCAGCAGGTGACCCCCTGCGAAGGGGTGCTCTGTTCTTGGAGGAGAAGGTGGCTGAGAGGGAGGGAGGAAGGCAGGTGGAGGGTGAGCGAAGTCAGAGCAGTGTGGCAGGAAGGAGCAGCGGCCGGCTGTTAGCTGAGAGAATCAGGAGACGTCCAACAGAGGAGATGCGGAATGGGATCTGAGCTGAGACCACAAGGGAGCTTTTCTGGAGATCCGTTGAGTTTGAAGAAGCACTCTGGAGCGGGATCCAGGGCATAAAGCAACCTTAGACACGAGAGACACAATATTAGTGTAACTAGAAATAGCTGTCAAAGAAAGAAAAACGGCCTCAGTACGTCTCAGGCCATGGCCATGGCCTGAGGCGTACCACTTCAGGTTAACACCTGGCATCTTCCCGCTGACAGCCTTCTGCTTAAATGCTCCCCTGTCATTCTGTTGAATGAGTCACAGCTCATGTTAGATAGGAGTTTAATGAAGATGACCTTTAAAGACACAAAAAGTGTCAGATAGAAAAAATACAGATAGAAAAAAGAGTCTGGAGAAGAAGGTCCTTCTGTTCTGGGTTCATCTCAGTTCTGGAAGGAAAATAAATCAAAGAAAAAAGAAGGTTAGGATAAATAAAAAAAAAAAAATAAACTCATAGATAGATTCATTTTTAGAGGAGTTGGACATTCCTTTATCTGTGTAAACATTTCTTCTTGTACCTCTACCTAGACGTCTAAAGTTCATGTAATTTGCTAATAAGTCAAAAGGTTTTCATGCTTAAACTTTTTTTTTATTTAAAAAAATAGAAAACTATCTGTTGAATCTTTTTTGTATATTTAAAGGAATGACATGCTTTATCATTGCAATTTTTTTTTATTAAAATCTCAAATACTCCAATTTGAAACACTAGTAGCTCATCAGCACAAATATATGGGGCGTCATTTGTGAAGTTAATTATAAATTAGGAGCAATATTTATAGTTATTTAATGTTTTTTAATGTGTTTTTCACAATGAAATTCATTCAGTTCCAAACTAAATATTTAGATTGTCAGTATTTTTCTCTTAAAACATGTTAAATAACCATAAATAGCCCCTAATTTCTGATTGTTTAACTTCACAAACGGCACCCCACACAAATAAACTAGATATAATTTTATCTAATTTATCGGATTTTCTTTGGAAGAATAAGAAGGTAATAAAATGTTGTGATATTTTATGATAAAATTCGGTTAAGCTCTGATTAAAAAAGGTAAACAGTATTATTCAGAGTTGTTCTCTCCTGGATCCACCAGATGTCGCCATTTACCTTCTTTGCTTTATTTTTCATTACTGTATATTTCCTAAAACTGCTTAGTTTTGGGGTTTGAAGAGTTGTTGTTTCGCTGCCAGTAAGGAGTGAGTTCTTTTGCAAACAGGAACACTCAGAGTGATTTATGAGGTGAAGAACTGAGCCAGTTTGCCCAGTCCTATTGTTGCTGGCTGGGAGGTTCCAGCTATGCAGCTCATGGGAAACACCACAGGACATCCTTTTCCTCATTCCTCAAAAATAAAATGAACATCCATGAGTGTTCCAGTGTTTTTGTGTTTTGAATGGAAATAACAAAAAAGGCAAATGTTGATATAACATGTCAATCTTCTGGCTTATCTGTCGGATTTTACAGTGGGAGCCACTTCGGGCTGCAGAACTATTGCTTGTTGTTAAAGAAAAGTCAGACTCAACAAATTAAGAGAAATAAATCCAGAACTTTGAAGTAGCAAACTGTAAGTTCTATGCAACCATGCAAACATTGGTTTTAAAAGTGTTCAAAGCTGCAGATTAAATGTTAATTTTATATCTCTGCAGTGAATCAGCCACAGGATAAAAATAGAGCAACATTTCAGCTTTGTCTCATTGCTGTACGTCATTAAAAAGCATTAAATAAGGAAACTGACTTTAGAGCAGTGCTTTCTATCAGCCAGTCGCTTTGCAGAGGCGCCTCCAGAAATGTTTCAAATCTCGGGGTGGCCACTGAAACTAAAAGCCATAATTTCAGGGTTTGAATCTACTATAGTGTTAAACCTGTCTGTAGAAATCATAAAGACTTCCGTAAACAGCTACTCATATCTTGGTTTATTGTGTGATTTTTTTATGTTCTGGCTGTGCAGAATGAGGTGAAATGCTAAACTGAGGCTGCTACAATTTACACTGGCCAGTGCATTGCATGGGGTGGGGTGGCCATTCCCTGGTGGCAAAACTGTCGCTTTGTGGTTTTGTTAAACTAAATGTTAGCCTCAGTTTACATATTTTCCTTTGGGTACAGCAGCCAGTGATGCTGCACTTAAGCTCAGGATGCGGCTCTATTTGTTACTTAAGTTTAGCGGCCAAACTAGCCAAGCCTTTAGTAGCTAATAATACTTTATTAAATATGGTTTATTCTAACAAAAAACAACATGACTGAGCCCAGCCAGCTCCTTTAAAACCAGAGCATTGGTTCCAACTGAAATGGAGAAATCAACATCATGTCTGAGAATTCCAAAAGACAAATGTTAGAGACTATTGGCTAAAAAATGTAATGTAAATCCCTTTATTGTCCCACAATGGGGAAATTTGTTCTCTGCATTTTGACCCATCCCCTCAGGGAGCAGTGGGCTGCCATTGTGTGACGCCTGGGGAGCAATCAGGGGTTAATGTCAACCCCTGATCGCTTCTAAATTTAATGAAAAACTGAGAAAAACATCCAAAACACAAAAATACTGAGAACCAAAAAAAAACAGCAAACATCAAGGAAAACCTACGTGGAAAGCCAGAAACGAGGAAGCGACTAACAATCAACACGGAACCAGCAAACAGTGACTAAATGGGAGACTGAACAAACAGGCTAATCAGCTGATAGGGAGCAGGTGTGGATGGAAGAGACCAGAAGGGAGCTAGAGGAAAGGAGAGAGGATCAAGGAGGCAGCAGAGGGCAACCACAGACTGCTTAAATATACAGAAAACGGAAAATAAACCAAAGATCAACAAAACAGAATAACTGAAAACGAAAAAGCTCATAATCCCAAAAGGGGAGAACCATAACAGATAAGGGTCTTGCTCAGGATCCCAGAGTGGAGGATGTGGGGATCGAACCACGAACCAGTTCCTTGCAACCTTCTCAGAGCACAAGCACACTGCTCTATCCATTAGACCAACACTCCCTAAATTAGTTACAAATAAAAATATATTGTTGTAGAGGTGGGCATAGATAATTTTTTCAATCTAAATAATCCAGATTAAAATGGCTTATTTGAATTCTGCCAAATGGATCAATGAATCAGAATTACTTTCCTTATCAAGAGGAGCGTACATTTATACGCACTCTTTGCTTCCATTGTCTACTATTACAAATGCAACGCATCAAATTCATTAATCATTTTTAACTTCTGCTAACGGTACTCGTAAGCATTTATTTCCCTCCTGTGCATAAGTGAGCTCTCATTCCCAAGAAATGTGAATCTGCCTAATTATCGCTCTTATGATGCTTTATAACCATTGTTGGGCTAACGCATTACTTATTAACGCGTTAGAGTAACTATGTTACTTTTCAAATAACTAGCGCTGTAACTAATTAGTCAGGCATTAGTCATTACTCGCTGCGACATTAGGACAGATTCATTATTCAATTCATTCCGGTTTATTTGTATAGCTACAATTCAAATCATGTCATCTCAGGTCACTTTACAGAGACAGTTCAGCAGATCATCAGTCAGATTGATTCAAAGTTTTCTATCTAAGGAAAAAAAGTTGATTGCATTTCAGCAATCCCTCACACTAAGCATGCTTGTAGCGACAGTGGAGAGGAAAAACTCCCTTTTAACAGGAAGAAACCTCCAGCAGAACCAGGCTCAGTGTGAGCGGCCATCTGCTGAGGCCGACTGGGGTTCAAGGAGACAGAAGCAGAGATACAGATACTGACATAAATGAAATAAGATTTTTGGCGCTCAGGTCCCGGCAGAAGACTGGGCCAAGAATCGACATTGGCTTGGATGACTAACCCAGGTGGTTTTAGGACAAAACTTAAGCTGATGTTTTGAGCTTTGGGCCCCAAAACTTGTTTCTTTTGCGTATTAGTAAATGGAGTTCATATTGCCTTACTGGCTCAGATACCAAAGTAATAAAACATGAACGGTGTTTCACCTCAGGCTAATGTTTCATCATCAGCTCTCTGAGAAGAGGCCCTATGTCAGTGAGCTGCACTCATCAGCATCAGCGTGTAAAGCCTTGCGTTAGGTGTGGAGGAGATGAGTGTGACAGCTGCTGGGGGAGTCCTACTACACCATAAGGTCACATGGTACACCCTCTATCCCTCTGATCCCTCCACCCCTCCCAACCCCATGCGTTCCTAATGCCGTGTACAGTGAGGGAGAGCAAAACAGCAGGAGGCTATAGAGTGGGAGGAGGAGCAGAGAGGGAGAGGGAGCTGATGAGGAGTAAAAGCAGAGGGAGTGAGCAGTTTGAGCCCAGATTATAACCTAGTCTGGAATAAAGAGAATACCATCATACCGTCTCCTTGTTTTAGCCGTGGAGGAAGAGGAGGGCTACCCGGTGGAGAGGAAGTGGGTGAAAGACGGAAAAACGGAAAAGGTGGAGCAGTATTTCCACAGGACATTGTTGTCATACAAGAGGAGGGTATGTGCTTCAGCGTGGGGGTTACCGCCACATTACCTCCACCAGCCTTACAGCAATGACATTCATACAGAAACATCCCAGGCTCCCAGCTGAGCATGCAGAGGACTAAAGGTGGAAGCAGTTCCTGCTGAAGACCATGGCCCAGGTAAGGAGAACCTCACCTTCTCACCTTTCACATGACTCTGAGAGAAGCTGAGCTGAGCTTCATCCCTCTTACTTCTGGCTTTATTCATGTGTGTGGTTTTATAATAACCTCAGCTTTAAAATTTAGTAATTTTTAAAGGTTAGTTCAGGAAATAGATGAAATGTTGTACCTCCTGAAGTGGACAGGAAGTGCTGACCCAAGGCTTAAGAGCTAAACGAGTGCTTATGGCTCAGGGGGGCTGCAAGATTGTTTCATCATTGTTTTTATTTTGTGTATTTTTAATTATCTCTATATAAATATAATATCTGTGATGATAAACTATGCATTTTCTACGTCAATATGTGTGATGAGAAAAGTAGGAACAAGCAGGCAGAGAACTAAAGTGATTATGAGAGGAACTGAAAAATCATCAAGTTCTGGGAAAAGAGCGTTTTTTGTTTTATTGCAAAATGTGTTCCGGGTTTAAAGTCATCACCTAGTAATGATGTTTCTGAGGTTTTAAAAAGGTGAACTTGCCTGTTTTCGAGTTAAATCTCACCCAGCTGAGTCTATATATCAAGAGGGGAAAACCCAGAGCTCACATATAGCGCCTTTTATTGGCTCAAAGCAGATTTTTGAAATCCTTGTTTGCAAACAAGCACATGGCTGATTATTGATGCTGATGGATCTTTGATCTAAGGAAAACCATTTTACACCTGCAGCATACCTAAACTTTATTTCCCAGCTTGCCCCGTTTAATGGGATTTCTATCACCGCCCTGCCCAACCGACCTCCCCACAGTTAAAGGCTTCTAGCATATTTTAAGAAGTAAGATTGATTTCAGACAAAATCCTTGAAGTACTTTCATGTGATTGTAGACATTTAAATTATATGATGAAAAGCAGATTGAAAACAAGAGGGGACGTTTACCAGGACTCTTAAAGTTGTAGGGAAATCATATTTAAATGTTAATCATTCTGGCTTAAACATCTATATAAATGTACTCTTTATCAGACCATGTTGTCCAAAAATTTAGAAAATTTCTATTCAAAAAGAGAAAAACTTGTTTCCCCCATTACCTTCTGCAGGCCAGTTAGTTCTACGTCAGCCTGAACACCTAAGTTCAGCCAATCATATATCAACGGTCATCTGTCAATCATATTTTTTCAGTCATAGCATCTCAATTCATATGTCGCAGCTAATATACGCAACAGTTGAAATAAGAATAATTTCCTTTCCCATTGAGTTCCGTCCCAGTGTTCACGGGGATGGACGTCTGTGTCTTCAGCAGGCGTAGAGCTAACAGAACTGGCAGCGTTGCGAGGCAAGGGCTCAAACATGTACGGCTGGAAGCCTTCTACACCAAACCAAGCTTCTGCCGCCCTGGCGTCCTCTTCCACAACATCTTCATCCCCGCTTTCCTCCTCTAAATAAAAAATGGATGATGGAGGAGACTCATCCACGACCTCCGACACTAAACTCTCCTCCTCTTGCATGTTTCCTCTGTCCATAGCGTTCCTTGACAGTGTCGTTTCTAAGTCACCAATTTAGTGCTACTTGGTCCCAATGGAATTTCCCATTAGGAACCTACTAGCACTAAGTTGCTAACTGGTTAGCAAGATGCTTCAGACAAACCGTTCACAACCAAAATCCCGCCCCCTTGATAATTGAGCAATCACATTCACTTTATTCACTTGTGTAAAGTCGGGCACCACTCGGGAGAATTCGGAAATCCAACGGTTGGAACAGTCGCTTCCCTACGGCTTTAAAAAGTGTCATGAGCCTCGATCCCACCGAAAATAGCAGGTTAATGTAAACATAGGTCGAACCGCTAACAAGCATTTGGCTCCCTTCTCATTGGCATAAAAAAACTGGTCTAATCCCTCACTGGCAGCTGCGTAATCTCTGTCCCCCTGCTGCTCCGTGTCTGGTGACATCATTACGCTTGGTTAGCATTAATGATGTCATCAGTGAGACAGAAATCAGGGTTGTAAACAATGGAGAGCAACATGAAAGGAAGCCAGGGTGTAGTCAGTGTGCTTTATTGTTTCTCTCTATTATCTTTCTGAATCCCTCTCATCAGAGCTGCTCCATGTTTATCAAATGGAAACAGAGTTGTTTCAGCTTGTTAGATAAGAAGCGACTGGAGTGGTGTGTTGACATCCATACGCTGCTTTCAATGATATCACATAATTTAGCGGGTCGACCCGGCTCTGGTGTTCCCACAGCATGCTGATCAGAGCCGAGGTGATTTGAACATGGATCAGTTGCCAAGTCGTTTGACCCAGGTAGACACACGTCAGTGAGCTGTTCCCACTGCCACTAAAAGCCCATTGCTCCTGGGATTAAACTGTTTTTTTGGTCATTGGGAAAGAAGTAATATGAACTGTTGAAGCGTTCATTAATGACATCAGAGCTCTGCACTGTCCTTCACTACAGATGGACACCAAGGTCCAACTCTGCAAGCTAGAATTAGCACATACAAGGAGAACGTAACGCTTGAATGTAACAAGAAATGACCAGTAATACAATATCTTTCAGTCTTTTGCTTTTTATTTCTGACACAACTTCTCAACATCTAGGTTTTCAAAGCAGAATATACAAAATATAACATGAGAAATAAAAATCTTACATAATTTATTTTGTACCAGCAATGGTACACATCCTACCAACTAAGATAACTGCTTCTACATTCCATGAAGCAAAATTAACAAGGACAACAGATTAAAAGAGGGATTAAAATGAGGAAATGAAGTATAATGATTAAAATGCAACAATGTCGATTGTAATAAAGAACTAGTACTCATAATTATTGATGAAATAAAGCTTTTAGAGTAAAGCAATCTAAACACAACAGTTGATGTGTATAGATCAAGTGACTGCCTCGCTTTTTTGTTTTTCCAGCATATTGTACCTTTAATATAATGATCAATTACGGAAAAATGTAACAATTTAACAAAAATGTTCATTTTAGACCAACTAACAGTGATGATTCAACCATGCCAAGGCTAGTTAATGTGACATGTCTTAATGAAAAATATCTGACTTGCCAATATCAGGCCTTCATGAGAGATATGAGGTCACACAAGTTTGAAAAGCAACCTATGATTTTGGTTGAAAATTAGAATTCTATCAGCAAATCAGAGGGGCTGAAAGTTCAGTTGTGTTCCAAACTGTTCCCTCAACCCCCTTCTACAACGCAATCCCTTTCCTCATGTAAATACTCCATTAGTGCACTAAGCATGCTTGTAGCGACAGTGGAGAGGAAAAACTCCCTTTTAACAGGAAGAAACCTCCAGAAGAACCAGGCTCCGTGTGAGCTGTCATCTGCTGAAGCTGACTGGGGTTCAAGGAGACAGAATCAGACATAGAAAAAGAAACACAGATACAGAAGGCAACTGTCAACCTGCTCCACAGGCGGCCCCGTCCAGGACACACAGCCAGGCAGACGAGCTCCGAGCCAGCTCCCATGTCAGAGGATGAAGAGAGCACATCCAGTTCGTCACAGTCAGAGAAACAGGACTACACTGAAAAACAGGCAGATCTCCAACATCTAGAAACAAAGATGTTGATGGCAGCAGCACAGCTGATATTTCTCTCCAAGGTGGAGTCACAGCCAAACAGGAACAGAACAGATGAAGCTACTATGAGAAAAAGCAGAGAGAGCAGAACGTTAGAGACTGAACTAACAGATTCTGCAGAGTGGGAGAATAGAGACAGAATGAAGCAGAATGATGAAAAGGGGTCCCTATGTCCTCCAGCAGTCTAAGCCTATAGCAGCATAACTATAGAGATAGCTCAGGATAACCTGAGCCACTCTAACTATAAGCTTTATCAAAAAGGAAAGTTTTAAGCCTAGCCTTAAAAGTAGACAGGGTGTCTGCCTCACGGACTAAAACTGGTAGTTGGTTCCACAGGAGAGGAGCCTGATAACTAAAAGCTCTGCCTCCCATTCTACTTTTAGAAATTCTAGGAACCACTAGTAAACCTGCAGATTGAGAGCGAAGTGCTCTGTTAGGAACATAAGGAACAATCAGATCTCTGATATCAGATGGAGCTTGGCCATTTAAGGCTTTATATGTGAGAAGGAGGATTTTAAATTCTACTCTGGATTTAACAGGAAGCCAATGAGAGATATGATCTCTCTTTTTAATTTTCATTAGAACTCTGGCTGCAGCATTTTGGATCAGCTAACAGGCTTTTAACTACAGCTAACCTGTTAGCTGTAGTTAAAAGCCTTCAGCTGAGCTCAGTCATAGAAGGCGAGACTTTCCTTAAAGACTGAGAATGATTGTTTTCTACTTTCGGCTACTTTAGATCGTGGAAAATAATAGCAAATAAAGGGAATAAAAAAGATTTGATCTTTAAGAAACTGTCTCAATAGAGTTTGTCAGAGTGGAGTTGCCATATGATGATGCCATAAGAAGGGGTGGGGCCCCGAGCAGATCTGGTACCTACAGCGGCGGTATGCTGGAGGTCTGAAGCTCCCAACAACAACTGCAGATTTTAGTGGGATTATAATCCTGGAACTGATGAACAGAGGATGTTTGAGGTGGACTTTCTCACTTAAAAAAATAGCAGATAAACAATCTGAGCGTTACTTTTTCCACTCAGCTTGGGTGTGTGTTTTCTTGTTCATAAAACATTATGGGGCACATTTTTGTGAAAAATAGCATGTTGAGGGGACCAACTGCCTGGAGGGCATCAGGCACCATGAAAAGGGGTTAGGGTCAAGTTAAGAAAAACAGTTTAAATTGCGTTTAGATTCAGGGGCAGAGCTAGAAGGGGGGCCATGGGTGGCCATGGCCACCCTTAGCCAATCATTGGCCACACCTACCATTTTTTCCCCATAATACAGACGATGGAAGCAGTAATACTCTTAAGTGGAATGTTCTAACTTATTTAACATTTTAATTTTCATGTGTTAACAGTTACTTTACAACAAAAACACTGTGGTTAATTATGCACTTAAAAAATACTAACGTTAAAGATAATAAATACAGAATTCATGCTCTTTTCAG